GCGGGGCTGGCGCGAGGAAAGCGGAAACACCCCAGGTCGCAGCCCACTTGCCAGACGCGCGCCTGCGCAGTCAGCGGCGCGCGGTCGCTTAGCCTACCGCGTACTTTCCAAGGCTCATTGGTCTGAGAAAGCTGTAGTTGCGGTATTAGTGGTCAGGGGTCTGCGACGTGTTCGACAGAGAGGACTAGCCGGACTTCACTGTCGAGTTCGGTCCCCCTACTTCAGCACCTCCTTAGAGACGCTCCGCAGCGCAAAGCCCGCCCACTGCACAGGCTGAACCCCCACTTCCGAGCAAGATGGCTGAGGAGCCGGAGTCTGTCCTGCACCTCCCGCCCTCAACTGCGGCTGACGGCGAAGGACCTACGGAGAGCTCCCCAGGAGCAGCCACTCCAGAGCCCCCTTCTTCCGCTGCAGTCTCCCCGGGAACTGAGGAACCTGCTGGCGACACCAAGAAAAAGAGTAATTTTCAGAGCATTTTCTTTATGAGCAGAGGCGGGAGGTTTAGATTGCCTCATTAGGGATGGCGGCAAATAAAGAAGCAAATTTAGTGGAAGGCCCATCCCAGATCTGGTTTTAGACCAGTCAGGAGAGAGGAATTTGTGCTTTTTGGCTTTCAAGACCTTAGAGTTGAGTGCTTTTCAAGAAAGCCATCTCTAGGCGCACCTTCGCAGTGTGCTGCCCGGTACTTGGCTGCCTCAGTACTAAAGACACTACAGTCTAATCTTTCTTTCAGTTGGCCACATCGCGAGCTCTTTGAAGGTGGGAGCTGAGTGGAATCTCGTAGCTGCAAGTACTTAACACAGTAGCTATTTGAATAATGATTTAAGGTGATAGAGATGGTCAGTGGCAAGTCTAGGTTAGAATCCTTGCCTTCCGACTAGTCAGTTCGCTGTTTTGTATACCAATTACGTGCGAATTCACCCCTTGAAGCAAACAAAAACCAAACAAACAAAAATCTTGAAATTTTATTCAGTATGAAGAATGTTAGGGGAAAACTAAAGGCATGGACATCGCCTTTTAAAAACAACTATTTTGGAACCTTTGTAAGCGAATCATTTCATTGTTTGAATTAGCTGTTATCAACCCTTTATTGCTTGAGAATTAGATCACCATTGTAAAATACAGAAATTCCTAAATATACTTGTCTTAGAGCACTCTATGTAGAGTTGCCTATGAGAAAAGCAGCAAATCAACAGCTACAGTTCTCAGAGGTTCACCCTGGGCCTGGAACAGGTTTTCTCAGTCCAGCCTTATTGTATATATGGCATGTTTTCTGCTCGGCGATCTCATGGCCTTTCGTGGAACTTCAGTTTCTTCTATGGAGGATAATTGTCTTAACACTGTCCCCCTTTTAAGTCAGACTGCCTCTACATTTGGGGGAAATCTCTCATTTCCAGATGATGCACTAGTAGAGAAACAGAAACCTTTGATTATAGATAACCACTAGAATCTTTCTTCAGAAGAATTCCATGAATTTTACAGATTTTTGTTCCTTTTTTTTTCTTCCATTTTACTATAAACAGGAACAGACTTTCAAAGGGCTTTTTGGTTTTTTTTTTTTTTAAAGCTCTAACAGTCTTAATCAAAAGCTTACTATTTGACCCCGAGGATAGCTTTGTAAAATAGTGGCTTAAAAATAATGGCCCACAACCGAGATATAGGCTGAAGTTATGTGGCATGTTTTCTTTGGTCTGCACAGTATTTTTTTTAAAACCATCACTTAAAAATTAGATTTTCATTTTCTGACTCCCGTGAGCATTCGAGTTTGCCTCTGATATATAAAGCTTAGCTTCTAGCTATTGAATTTCTACCCTGAAACTGTCATCCTTTTTTGAGGACCTCTTTTGTTGAAACAAGCTTAACTATTTCACAAGCTCCACTTCTCGTTTAATGTGTGGAAGAAGAAAGATTATTAAAGCAGACCGAAATCTGCTTTATAATTACAGTAAATGGTTCCTTCTCCAGCTTCTTGCCCTCTCAATTTTCTTCAGTAGTACAACTAATAGTAATTTCTGCTTTGCTTTCTTGGCATGCTCAATTGCAAATGAGTTATTGATAGCTCCAGGGGATTGAGGGAGCACAGAGGTGAGTTATTCAAAAATCTCCTCAGTTATCTTCCAGTTCATCCCTATTTTGTAGATCAACCTCTACAAAATAGGGACCAGGGCTCTTATGAGAATCATGCCTGATTTGAGGTGGAGCTGAGGCAGTGATGGTAGCCCTGGAGAGAGCCTGCAAATACAGATGAAGCTTCACTTGCTGGCCCGCTGCTTACTTATTGCTGTGCGGCCTGGTTCATAACAGGCCACGGACAGGTACCAGGGGTTGGGGACCCCTGACTTAGATAACTGAAGCTAGAATTATTACATGAAGGAAGATAAACTTTAGCAGGAAGAATAACTGTGCATCATGTGTTCTAGGTGCTTTCAATTTCAAGGGTGAACTTAAATAAATTGATCACAGTGACCATTTGGGTCCCAATTTTTGATAACAAAGAATGGGACGAGGGATGTAATAGCATAGGATTAACTCTAGGGGGCAGCAATAACTATTTTGCTTTCAATATTGCTTTTGAGTGTAGATAAATTATTTTTTTTATTTTTTTTAAGCAAAGTAACTTTGGGAGACTTTAATAGTTTGGGTTTGCATTTTTGTATTTTAGATTATTGAAACTTTTAATTTCTCTAACTGAAAACTTTGGCCCCTAGTTGTATTTTCTTTCTAATAATTTTTGTTTTCCTTTATTAAAAAGGTTATTGTAGGAAACAGTACTTAACAAAAAGCACAAATAAAATCAAATAATGTCACTACTGAGAAATTGCATTTTGGTGCATATTTCACATTTATATGAATATGTGCTTATGATGGTTTTAATGAAGTTATGTGCTATTTTAAAGTCATGTGCTATTTTATATTTAGTACATTTTGATGACTTTTTCATACTGTTAAGTACACATTTATAATGTTTTCCTTAATGGCAGCTTAATCTTAAGGTTCAGTAGAGTTATGAGCTGATACTGTTGTCAACGTTTTATACATATTCATTTAATCCTCAGAACAGCCTTATGAGGTAGGTGCTATTATCCATATTTTACAAATGGAGAAACTGTGGCACAGAGAGATTAAAGAGCTATCCAAAATATATATATGTATACCTAGCAAGTGGCAGAGCTAGGATTTTGAACCCAGGGATTTTAGAGTGTGTGTTCTTTACTGCATTATGTAAATTCTATTAAAGAATATAATGGCCTTTAAGCAATTCCCTCTAAATATCAGGTTTTTTTCCTATAAAAATAAATGTTTCAACAAAGGTGAAATCCTCCTAAGTGAATCTTTTTACATCTCATATTTTCTTATACTGGATTCCTAGAATAATTATTATTGAGTATTGAGTCAAAGCTTATCTCTAAGTATTTGGTAATACCACGTTGATCTCAGGAAAGGTTGTACCATTTTGTATTCCCAACAATAGTATCACCTACAGTATTATTATTCCAATCATTACTAATTTGGTAGATGAAAAAGCCATGACATTTTATGTATTTTTTCATATCTTTATTGATCATTTATATTTATTCTTTTTGGAATTGCCTGTTATGTTAAAATGAATTTTAAAGATTCATTTCATGGGGAAACCTATGTAAGACTACAGACTCAAGGGGGAAAAAAATCCAAAAACATGATGAATAAGAACCTTACCTTACATCTTGGACATACCTCCAGTATCATAAATATATAAACTACATGTAGATTAAAGGTTTAAGTTTTCTAAAATCTTTTATAGTACATTCACTTTAGATGTTTTGGTATAATTGTCTGGGTTTTGTTTGTTTGTTTGTTTGTTTTGCCTTTTACAGTTGACATCCTGCTAAAGGCTGTAGGAGACACCCCTATAATGAAAACAAAGAAGTGGGCTGTAGAGCGAACCCGAACTATCCAAGGACTCATTGACTTCATCAAAAAGTTTCTTAAACTTGTGGCCTCAGAACAGTTGGTATGAAACCAATGGTGAATAGTTCCCTACAAAAAGTCGCACTATAAAAATTCACAATAGCTCCTAGGCAACAATGAATAACTGTTATATATAGAAATGTATATGGAGCCACACATGTTACTTCAGTAACATTTTATTTCTTTTGTTGGTGGAATTTCTGTACTTTATTGAAGGATTCTCTGTGGAACCCTGAAAGTAAATGAATTTTAGAGTTCTTTTATAATGTGAACTGATTTTTTGACCTAATGTATTGGTTGTTTTCCTCGAAAAGTCACTGATACAGAAAGATATATTACAGAACATTAATACAGAAAGTTTGGGGTTTTAAAATTTGTTTTGATATTGTTGCTTCTTTCCCATTCTTCTTGAGGTAGGCAATATATCTTTGCCATATGTTGTGAGAGAATTACAATATATACTTATTTCATATTATAGTACATGTTAAGCACTTTATGGTGGCAGTTATAAGGATTAATATTTTAAATGCCACCGGTTTCTAACTTGGTATTTAACAACAGAAATTTAAGTATCTACATGTATTTGGATTGTCATTGCAAGTTATGTTAATATATCATACACTATTATCTACAGATCATAATCTTGATCAATATTAATACTGATCTGAGACTTTAGCTGTAAGTGGTTCTCACAAAGAGAACGTAAGTGCAAGAATAAGTACAAGATAGGTCAGTCACTAGAAGTTTTTGAGGTAAGAATAGCATAGAGCCAGAGATTCCTCCAAAAGTAGTTGTTTAGGAAAAGTGTTGGGAATATTTGAGTTTTGCAGGTGACCATCTCCCTTTGTGATCAATCAGAGTGAGAAAAGCATCGGTTTTATGAGGGCCATACATAATTTAATTAAATGGCGAAAGATGGGCAAAAAGATCATAGTGTCATCCACTTGCTTATGGTAGCTAAAACCCCAGGAGCAGAGAACTTTCCAAGAGGTCAAGTCTAAGTGGAAAAGTCAGAGGAATGAGGACTTACACTTGAGAGAAATGAGCAGAAGCTATGTCTCTACTAAAGGTGCTTCATGAAGAGTTAGAGAAGTGGGAATCTAGGGGAGTACCAAGTAATTAAAGCATTAATTTTAGAAATTTATAGGTAGAAGAAAAGATGAAATGGTGCTATGTTCTATGTTAATGTTAGAGTCTTATCATTTTGTATTGCCTATATCCAGTAATCTGAAAGAACTTGATTAATATCAACATTTGTTTGGTTGAACCATGTAAAATTGTCATTAGTCAACCATTTTAAACTATAAAAACAGCAATTGCATATGGTTCAGCCTTTAACAAAAGTGTCGATTAAATCTGATACAATGTTATTGAAAATAAAAATAACATTGCTAAAGACAATAAAAGCATGCCAGAAAAATGTGCTTACAAGACAGGTCAGTAGCTATAACTTATTACTTCAAAACAAACTAAAAGATTAAGAACGTGATACAGGACATGAAAGAACAACATAAATCAGCATTAATAAAACAAATGAAGTGACAGGGCTCAGGAAAAGAATTATAAATAATATTTCAGAAATGAAGACTAAACTAGAAGGAACAAGAGCAAATAAACAGATAATGCCTTAAAAAATAGAAGGCAAAAAAAGAATTTTTAAAATCAAAAAGAAATGAAAGGTAAAAGATTTGAGAAAAAGTGACAAATACTGAATGTAAACAAATACTGAATTAAAACTATAATTCAAGGGAAATTTCTTTAAAAAAATTTGAAACTACATATTGAAAAAATATACCAAGTACCTGAGAATAACAAGCATCAAAACACATTCTATTAAAATTATTGGACTTGAAATAAAAAGAAAAAAGTCTTTTGTATATCTAAGGAAAAAAAGAGGACCTGACTTAGAAATAAAATTAGATTATCATCAAACTTTGACAGCAAAGATACAAGGAAAGAACGTGTGAGATAAGGATTTTATATACAACAACTGACTTTTAATCAGGGCACAAGCAGCAGTGTACAAGAACTCAGAGAATAGTATTCCCATGAACCCTTCCTGAAGAATCTAAGAAAGAGCTTTATAACATCCAAAATAACTAGAGGGACATCAACGTAAAGACTGATGATTTAAAAACAAATCATTATTCTTTAAAGTTAAAATAATTTTATCTTCCCAAGTTCTAGCATTTAACAAAAGATTGCGTTTTGAAAATTTTACTTCTGTGGAATTTTAAACTAGCTGAATTACCTTTTTTTTATAATTAAAGTCGCCTCCAGTTGCCAACTCCTATTAAAAATCATATTGAGTTCCTGTAGTTCTCTACTACATTTACTCTTCTGTCCCCTCAACACTCAAACCATCTTTTCTTTTGCCTACAAAGTCCTAATTACTACCCTCCTCAGCTGGTTAAATGCCATTTATTTCTCAGGTATCTTCCAGGAGGGTTTCCCCGACCTTTTTGCTAGGCTAAACTATTACCACATCTCTGTATACTATATACCTTGTCAGATGCACTTTTCTCATCTGTATTCTTATCTATGTGTCTACCTCTCCAGTAGATTGAAAAGTCATTGTGTGGGTCTATCATATTAATCTTCATAGTTCCTTGTGTAATTCCTACCACATAAGACACTCAGTGAATGTTTACTGAAATAAACTGTCATCGAGAGCCCTTCTAATTTAAAATTCCAAAAGAGAAAAATCTATGTTTACTCATAGATAAACTCTAAGAGCTAAAAAATGATTGTATGTATATTACAGAAATTCACATTTCAATGCACACTGATCTCTGTTAGGTTTCTAAATTTTTATATTAGACTATTAGCCTTAACCATGAATTGATATTTACACGTGAGATATTTTTAAATAATAATTATAACTAATGTCTACTGAGTACATATACCAGGCACTGATACTGTCTCATTTTATTTTTCCTAGCAGCCCCAAGAAACACAGGTACTATTATTTTCCATATTTACAAATAAAGAAACAGGCTGAAAAAAGTTATGTGTATTTAGAGCCAGAATTCAAACCTAGATCTGTCTCAGTAGAGCCCTTATTCTTGATTACCACATTGTATTGCCTAAAGGAGAAATGTAAGCAGTACTTATTCTTGTTATAGTTGGTGAGCCAAATAGTGTCTATCAACCAATTATTGTTGGGTTTTAAAGACTATGTTAAGCCTGAGAAATTTTAGTCTTAGAATTTGACTATAGACAAAGGAAAATTGAATATGTTACCTGAAAATAATGTTTTGTTTTCTAAAAAGAGAATTATTAAAAGTTACTTCGACACTGTAACCTTTTGTTTCAGTATCTTCAGGAACTTTTTAAGTTTAGGTTTTCTCCACTATCCAAAAGTAGAGCATTCCTATGAAACCTTTCCTAAGCCAAAATGGCATAAAACAAAAAAGTAGTTACATTACTTTATTATGGAAAAATTTTTAGCATTCATAGACCCCCTAAAAATTACTTACCAAAACATACTAAATATGCCTAATTATATAGTTTTATGCTAAGCATAACAGCCTTCAGAGCTCTCTTGGGCTTTCTGATACCTTAGGACACATCTTGCTAATGAATGCAGAAAATAAGAGCATAAATACAGACACAGTTCAGAGGTATGGTGGTGTGATGCTGAGATACTGAGTGTAGTTCTCAGAGAAGGAGCTTGGCAGGGCCACTCTCAACTCCTGGGGTATGTGCTGCTTCTATCATGGCTCACTGCAAAACATACACTGGAAATTATTTTCTCTTTTCACCTTTCTTCGTAAAAGCGAGAATCCTCTTCGAATTCTTTCAATTAGTGAAAACAGGTACTAATGTAGGTTTTTTGTAATACGAACTTTCAAAAAGCAGAAGATACCTGTACTAGAAATGTTTTAGTAAAAATGAACTAAACTGAAACATCGAACAATGAATCCTTCAAAAAACAAGACTGTAAGGCCATTAGGTTTCAATTATGTTACATTTTTTTTTTTTCTATCTTATTTGGCTACAAGAGATTTTATAGTAGTGGCATCCAGCCTGGAGCGCAGTACCTTTAAGAGTTTTCAAGGGTAGTAAAGGTCAAAACAGATCCAGCCATGTATGTCATTTACCCAAGAAAAATACACAGACTATCTCAAATATTAGATTTCTTGATTTTAAGCTGTGCGTGTGAAACTTTGTTAGGAAAAATTTTGTCTTTAATGGGAAATTTTAATTTAATTTCTTGAATAAACCTTCAAAAGCTATATGGAAAAACAATATTTAAAAGTTGTTTAGTTATAATAAGTTGGGGACCACAGTCCTCAGACCAAATATTCTCTTTCTTTTTCCAGAAGAAGACATGATATTCATAAAGATCTAATTAGTAGTTGACAAATTTATGAGAATTAGAAAAAGGAGTTTAGGAAAGCTTTCTTCAGTTCTGAAGACAAAGAATTTGAAATAGCTGGCTGAATGGAACTCAGAAAAAATGCAAATTAATCAGGATACCATTAATAGTCATGTTTTTTTTTCTTTCTTGCAGTTTATTTATGTAAATCAGTCCTTTGCTCCTTCTCCCGACCAGGAAGTTGGAACTCTCTATGAGGTAAAACATTACTGCTTTATTTTCTTAATGGAATATGTACATCTATGAATAGTATGATTAATTCACATTTTTATTTTAAGAGATTATTAATTCACATCATTAAGAGATGCCATTCTGAATTGCCCATCAGGAAAAAGGAGATTACTTTCTTGTTTTCTGTTATATCTCTTAATACCTTGAACATAGCTGGATCTCAATAAATTATACAGTGATTAAAGAATTAATGAATAATACAAACAGAAGATGACTTTGAAGTATACCCGGAAAGCAAGGTCTCCTTTTTTACCTAATTAGTTTCTTCTGATTACATTGTTTATGTAATCAGTAATCCAGATTTGCCTCCAAGAAATTTAAAAGGAAGACTACATAAGAATTTCTTTATTTAAAAAAATAAAGAAGAATTTCTTTATTCAACATTCCTATAGTTTCATGGCAGTAATCATTATGGTGTATACAGTAGCACCACTACTAGAAAACAGTATATGCATTATAGTGAGAGATATTGAGAAAAGACTAAAATATCTAAGTACATCTACAGATGTTTAAAGGACAGGTTTTATTAGACATTTATGATTACTGCTATATGTCTGATAGCAATTTGCATCTCCTGAACGAAATAGCATTATAGATAACTTACACATACATGTATGAGGATATTTATGCTACATAACATTTTTTCTTTCACCTAAGAATAACAAAAGTTTATTCCTTTTTTTTTTGTAGTGTTTTGGCAGTGATGGCAAACTGGTCCTACATTACTGCAAATCTCAGGCATGGGGATGAACTACAGAGAAAAAGATATTGATAACTTAAAATGAGTCTTCACAAAGGAAACAGCTCTGAAAAGTTTTGATACTTGTGGCACAAGACTTGTGGATATGACCTACTCAGCATGTTATCTACTATGACCCATGTTTATGCATTTAAAAAATCCGTAGAGTAGATGACTCAAAAATGTGATTAGCATTAATAGAGAAATCGTCATAAAAGATTGACATTAGCGTATACCCATTACTATAATTTGCTCCAGGGTACAGAAAAGGAGACTGATTGTACAAAGCTTTATTACCAATTCTCAAAATAACTGAAATTGTTTACTTTTTAGAATCAGCACTTTGCTGATTTTTTTTTTCCCACTGTAAAAGTCAGTTTAGTTTACTAAAGGATTCTTTTTGTGCTTATTCAGTGAAGTTCAGTTTGTTCGAAATATGGGATATGCCTGTTTTCATTTACATTTGTACCTACTGTGTAACCTTATGAAACAAAATGTCATTGACCTGCTGGCTTTATACCTTAAATAGTCCAGTAGAGGGCAGCCCAGCCAGCAGAAAGAGGCAGTTTGGTTTTACATCTTTGCCAAATGATAATGGAGGAAAAAAGCAGTTCCTGCTAATTTCTAGCAAACCTCTATCTGTGAGAGCATATATGTGGACACACTGGAAGACTGCTTTAAAGAATATGCATGGTTTAGATTTAATTATTTTATTGAAAAACAAGAAATTTTACAAATTTTGGACAAATGAGTCATTTGATGTTTCTTGAGTCCCAATGGTTATAGCTGTGATGTTAGTTTGTCTTATTTTTACAGTGTCCAAAGCACTCAAGTAAATGTGGCAACATCTTTGAGTTTTTTGTGATGCATTTTCAACTTGAAAATGCTCCAAGAATAATTGAAGAATAGCCCCAAATTTTGTGTATTTCGTGCCATGACTAAAAGTACCATTTTTACTAATGCTATTAGACTGATAGTTGCTTGAAGTGAGATTTAACTTTTTTTCTTCATTCTGTATTATATTTGTAATGCAGCATTAAAAAAAAAACATTCCAATAAACTGAATGGAATGTTCAAACAGGATCTAAGGTGTGTATAAGAATAATAAGTGTTTATTTTCAGAAGTAATGGGAATGGTATGATTTAGTCAAAGGACTTTGAACTACACTTATGTCCCTTAATCCCAGAATGTACTTTATGGTTAATGATCTGCCATACATTAGCATTAGGGGATACTAAGGAACAATTCTGTTTACGGTAATGAAATCACTGTTCAGATTTCATTTTTTGTCCAAGAATGAACTCATAAGACCCCTTATACCAATGTTCCTGTATAATTAATACAGCTAGTAGTTAGCATTGGAATAATACAGGTTGAACTGTGCAAATTTATCTTGTAAGAGTAGGTAAAAAATTTGTCTATATGTTGAAAACTGGAAAGTGTAATTTCAAGTCAAATCGTTTCGATATGGAAAAGATCTGTTCTCTAGCTTTGTCCATTCAGTTTACTGAAGGATGTGAATATATTTATATGTGTATTTAACAGATAGTAAAAATGTGTTTTATATTTGCCACTAAGGTTTCAGCGATAAGAATATTTACTACCTCAGTAATCAAAACTACTTGAGTTTGAATTTGTGACATTTTAATTATTCTTTTTTGATATAAAGAACTTACTAGTTTATTAAATTCAAGGTTAGTGAAATATGTATACCTTACTTATTTTTTTCCTAATAACCTTGAAGAATATATAGGGCTTTCAAACCATATTTATAATATTATCTCTTATTCCTTATTCAAATAATCATTCTATGCTAACTTTGCAACATTTACTTGTAAGCGTGGATCCCATTAGTTATTGGGTGACTGGAACCTAAACACAATTCACAAATATTTTTGCAGATGTCTGGTTTAAACTGTTAATTGTAATTGAACTTGGGGGCGGGAAACAACCCTCTCAGTTTATATTTTGTTTTCCATGTTTATGAGAAAATCAATGTCAATAATGTCATGCTTTATCTTAACTGTGCAAAGATGACCCACAGCACACAGAGTATATATAAGAATATTGTGCTTCCATCTTTGAAGGTATCTATGCCAAGGACTTCATAATGAGTTCCTCATATTTAGGGTATAAGGTAAGCTAATAATGTTTATCTGTAATCAAGATATGTTCCAAGACCTCTAGTGGATGCCTGAAACCATGGATGGTACTGAACCATGTAGATCAGCGGTCCCCAACCTTTTTGGCATCAGGGACTGGTGCTCCTATGAGAATCTAATGCGTGATCTGGTGTGGAACTGAGGTGGTGATGCTGGCACTGGAGAGATGAAGCTTCTCTGGCCCATGTTCACCACCTGCTGTGCGACCTGGTTCCAACAGGCAGCTGCTGGTACCGGTCTGCAGCCCAGAGATAGGGGACCCCTGCTATAGATAGTATGTTTTTCCCTATACATACATACCTATGGTAAAGTTGAATATATAAATTAGATACAGTAAGCAATTTAACAATAATAGAGTAGAACAATTATAACTATATTGTAATAAAAGTTATGTGAATGTTGCCTCAAAAATAAACTCTCACCCCTGTGAGATTATATAATACTTGATGATACAGCTTCCAATATCAAACTAAAGGCTGAAGCCCTTACATTGTCCTACAAGGTCTTGTGTGATTGACAGTGCTCCTTTGCACACCCTGCCACCCACATTAATGTCCATCTGTATTGTTATTCAAAAACTAAGCTTGCTCTTATCCCAGAGCTTTTGCACTTACACTGTTTCTTCTACCAGTAAACTTCTCCCAGAAAATTCTCAGTAACATCTTTAGTCCCTAATCAAATATCACTTCATCAAGGAAGTGTTCTCCTGAACTCCCTCTTAAAATAGCAACTCACCACCCTCCATCCTCCTCTCCCTGCTTTAGCTTTCCTCCATTGTAAATTGTACACAGTATTTGTCCATTTCTCTATGCACAATGTATGTGATAATTGTTGGTATTTTTAACCATGGCGCCCGCCCACCCCCACATTAGAACATAAGACCTTTGAGGGCAGAGACAGTTTTATAAGCAGTGCCTAGCATATAGTACATGCTTTTAAAAATGTGTTGAATGGATGAATAGATGCATATTTCCAGACCTCTAATAACTCTAGTGCCAGTCTCTGGATATCTACTCTACATCAACGTCTGTCTTAATTGTAAATTAAGTGTAAATTAAGCATATTTCCAGACCTCTAATAACTCTAGTGCCAGTCTCTGGATATCTACTCTACATCAACGTCTGTCTTAATTGTAAATTATGTGTAAATTTTTGCTTCGGGCAATGCAGAATGTAGTAGAACTCCTACCTCTTTGGATCTAGGTATTCTACTTATGTTAATGGAGCCTCAACTTGCAAACACATCAAAGGTTGGCTTGGGGCCTGCCTTTTACCCAAAGTCTTTTGAACAATGGTGATTGAGCTGTCATTTTTACTTCCTAACAACGCTGTTAGAATACATACAATGTAATCAGTTTAACCAGGGATATTTAAAAGAAGACTTCATGTTGCACAAGTAAATGTAAATATATATATTACATACACAAATATACACATATAATACATGTATTGAAGGAAGTCTAGAAAAAAGTCTTCCAGAAGTATAGACCTTAATAATTTTGAATCCAAATCGTTCTGGGTCTATTTATGAGGAAGAAGGAATCTATACTTGGATTTCTTCTGTCTCACATTTTTCATATTTTCATTCGTACTTTGCATTGTTCTCCAAGTGTGCTAAGTGCTACCCACAACAGAAATGTTTTACATATATTACCAGTAGGCTCCTTCAAGCACACGACTAGCATTGAAAGATTTAGATGGCCTAATTAGAACCTTTTAAATTACTGCATTGGGAGCAAAACAAAACAAAACAAAACATAAAAACATTTTTCTTCGCCATGAATTGAAACATCAGGTCTTTGCACTAAATATTTTTTAGGAAATGTTTCATTTTAAAATCAAAGGGATACATGGCCTTCCATCGTTTCACTAGTCTTGCTCGAGACCCGAGTTCCCTTTGTCAAAATGTACTTTTTAAAGTTTTTTTTTTTTTTTTTTTTTTTAATGGAAGACTACGACTTGTTTTGACCTACCATGGAGCATATTATCTACAGTTTCAATCTACAAAAACAGTAGCTCTCCTTCTTGGGAGTAGAATCCATCATTCTCAACCTTCTCATGCTCTTCACAATTCCTCAGTTCTATTTGAAAGAAAGGGTCCCCATTCTTCTACGTCCAACTCCGTTGTCTCCCGACCCCTGCAGTCTGCATCCCAGCGTCGCGGTTGAAAGGAACTTCAGGCAGGGGTGGCGCGGGTGGGACGATGGGAGAGAGGTAGGTTTGGGCAGCCAAAATGTGCCCTGTTAAGGTGGGGGAGAGATTGCGCGAAGCCCATCGCGAGTGCTGAGACCCAGAGGAGAAGGCCTCCCAAGAGGGCTGCAGGGCTCAGAAGGCTGGCGCCAAGAGCATGGCCCTTGCCCGCACGTTCTCGCCGCCTTCGCCACCTTCTTCAGGTCGCACCCCGTCTCTCCCCACCCTCGGAGGGCCGTTGGTACATTCCCGCTGACTCCGAGAGCTTAAAAAGGGCCGGGAGGCTAAACCTTGTAGACTAGGTCCTGATTTGTATGTGCTGCGCGTCGTTCGTGAGCCCAGGCGCGCCACGCTGCCCTGGGGGCGTCTCTTGCTATCTTGCTATAGATTCTTTAAGCCGTTGTTCTCAAGCGTTTGGGGGTTTTGTGTGCATAGCTATCTAGCCGACAGCTAGGGTCCCTCGTCCCCGGTTCCTGGGCTCGCTCAGCTTCTTCGCCGAAGCCCAGCGGTGAGAAAGGCGCGTCGCCACCTCCTCAAGGGATGGAGCAGACCGAGGTGCTGAAGCCACGGACCCTGGCCGATCTGATTCGCATCCTGCACCAGCTCTTCGCCGGCGAGGAGGTCAATGTGGAGGAGGTGCAGGCCGTCATGGAAGCCTACGAGAGCGACCCCGCCGAGTGGGCAGCGTACGCCAAGTACGACCAGTACAGGTGAGTGCGCTCTAGCGCTGCCCGCCGAGGATCTTGGGCGCGGGCCTCAAAACCCAGCCGTGCGGCCTCTCCGAGCCCGCGGAGTAGGGGGCCTTAGGGAATGGGTGGGGGGCTTGCTCCAGGAGAGCGCGGGCAGGAGCATCGCCTGCCGCCCCACGCTCCCAGCACCCCGAGGCCTTTGCCGCACCCCAGTGCTGCGCCTCCTCCCTGGACCGCGGAGCTCGCCTTCCGAGCTTTGTCCGAAGGTGGATCCTGCAGCGCTCGACCTCTGGGGGAACTGACCCCGCACCGCTACAGTTTTCTATTCTCTCCTCACGCGTCAACCGCTCGGCTTCCAAGCCTCCACTCCTCCTGCCGGGAGCAATGTCCTCAGGCTCTACCCGGCCTGCTGCCCAGGGGAACCTACTGGCAGGACTGACGGACAGTGCTCTCCGGAGAGAACTACTCCAGCAATCCCGAGAAAGGAGTAACAATGGAGGATACAGTTGCCCGACACCAGTTCTCCATCACTTCGCTCTCGGTTGCCTGCGACCAGGCACATGCCCTCAGGCTTTTTTTTTTTTTTTTGCTGCGTCTTGGGGTTGTCAACTGCTCTTTTTCGGTTTGTGGTGCCCTCTCTCCTAAACCAGTTTAACTTCCCGGACTGAGGTTTTATTTAAACCCACTATCAGGTTCGCGAATTAAACGCCAGCCTTTCCTTCAGCTCCCAGCTAATATGCTTTCTCTTATCCGTAGTTCTGAGGAAATGGAATGTAAATTGAAATGCTATTTCCCAGCTGTGCTGAAGTGAGATGCCCCGGGAGGCCAGGTCCTTTGCAGCCCCTGCTTGGTGATTAAGTAAAAAATGAATCTCTACCAATCTTCTGGGGCCAGAAGTAAAATTTAATCACCCTGAAGGGTGAAAAAGGTTCTTTTCCGAAGAGTAGCCAGCACTTCAGTCTCTTGGGTTAGTTGGGTTGAGAGTAGGGAGAGGGGTATAGTTCAAAGAGAAGAATTAGGAAAGATGTTTTCCTTGAGAGCAGTTTCTGTTAGTCATTTCACCAAACATATAAAGCGCGTTTAGTAAAGTTTTACCAGCAAAAGCTTCAACTGTATTTTAGGATTTGAAAACCTACTTAGGATCCCATTTTTCATTTGCAAGTGGCTCTAGGAAATTCCCTTGGTTTCTATCAACTCAGTTCATGGTAAGTTTCTTCTGTGGCTGCCGAAGCAGTCTTGTTTTTAATTTTGCCATTAGCTCCACATAACTGAGGGCTGGTTATGGGCCAAGTACTCTTGCAGTCACATTACATGGCTATGAACACAGCCGTAAGAGATAGGTATCATTCTTAGTCCTGTTTTACAGGTGAGGACCGGTAGACACTAAAATGATTGGCTTACCTGCATAAGGTCATACTTTCATCAAGTAGCGGCTCCAGGATTCAAATTAGCATTATTGCTCTAGAGCCCATATTGTAAACTACTACTAAACTTCTTGAGACATATGGCGCATAATAGTTTTCTTCTGCCTGGAGATATTGACCAAGTGAAATTAATTAACCAGAGTAGGCTGTAAGGGCTCTTAATCTTTAGAAAAGGGCATCTCCAGGAAGGGGCCTTGAATTCATCTTGATTGATAAGATCTAAACTATTTGAAATGCAACCACTTGGATTGAGCTCTTCCACAGGTATCAGGTATAGCTCATTAAGATAACAGGTACAGTCTTGGTTTGGCAGTTTGGGGAGGAGAGGGAAGAGAGGGAACAGAGAACAGAAATCAATTTGATAGTGTTTTTTACATGTAATAGGTGAAGGATTCTGATCTCTGACCTTGAGAAGGCCAGTGCAGAAGAACCAAGAAAGTATGTGTTCCAAAGTGAGCCAGACAGTGAATTCTCTGAAAGAAGCCCCAGAAAAGCAAGAGGGATGACTCTAAGACTGGTGGAGGAAGAAAAGTAGTATCCTGGTTACAAGAACTGAATTTAAAGGCCATGAGCATGGCCCCTTGCTAGGTCATAAAGGGCCACAGAGTGAGCATGACTGACATCTAAAAAGCATTTTCTAATCAGCTTCAGTGATCCTGCTCTGCCAGCACCTGGCCTCTTGCCTGGGGGAGGAGAGGGGAGAAAGGGACATGCAGGACATAAGTGAACAGATGACCATGTGAACAAACACTACCCAAAAAATGGGGTCAAGATTGCTTTCCTTAAAAGTGATGGTCTAAATGAATGTCATAATTATCAAAGTTTGCTAATTAGATGATGTCGTACCTCTTTGACCCATAGAAACTTTAAAGTTGATTTTTTTTTCCGATGGTGTGGTTATGGTTGTTTTGGTTCAAGAATTCTTCGTTTGTTTGTTTTTTGGGCTAATTACTGTTTTTTCATCATTGTTAAAGGTTCAGAGTGTTAGTTATTTCCCTAATGTAGTCTCCTATGTTCTGGTACTTGGGTCAACCCCCACCCTATTTGTGGAGGACTTTTCAGTAGGAGTACTTTTGAACGTGGTTTGCGTCTGAGCTATAGTGAACTAAGAATTCTAGAACAGCTCTTTGATAAAACCTTGTTTCTCAAGTTCTGGTTAAACTACTAGGAAGGAAAGGACAAGACAAAACAATAGCAGCATTCTTGCCTAGTATACTAATGTACTTTGCAAATACCTTCTGAGAGAAACTTTTTTTTTTTTATCAGTTTGAGACAGTCACATGGAGAATCAAAGAATTTTTTTGTTTTTGCTTTTTCTCCTGTTAGCTTTTCCATGCCATTAATTAAACCTGAGCAGCTGTAAATGCTGTGATTTAAAATACAAAAATATCCAAAATGAACTGGAAAAAAATATTTTTCATTTGTGCTGGATTTCTAATGAGAAAACCACTTTCAAAGTTGCTTAGAAGTAGAAATAGTAGCTTCTGTAAATGAATAGTACTTTGTGACACACTTATTTTCCCAAATGCTTGTTTCATCAACCGGATTTAAACTTCTGAATACATTCTTTTTAGGTACACCCGAAATCTTGTGGATCAAGGAAATGGAAAATTTAATCTAATGATTCTATGTTGGGGTGAAGGACATGGCAGGTAATACAACTATTTATTTTAGATAGTTATTATTTAGCGTATCTATTCCAACATATGAAGAAATGTACAGTGTCAGGCTGGCCACAAGTCTTCAGAGCACTAACAAATATCATTTTATAATTATTTGTTCATAATATCATTTAATCCCAACAAAAAAAAATCTCATGGGAATTAGCATACGTCGTGTACATTAAAACTAGCCCCCCAAATGAGAAATAAAAGAGGTAGTAACCAGTTTAACTTAACTCCAAACTTTTATGGAATTGTTCTAAAACTTGACCTTTGTGGTGTTTTGAAGTGCGTAAACAATTATGGGACAAAGCATCTAGATTTGGAGCTAGAAAAGCAGTTCACAAATTTCTGTCTACTTCAAGTAAGGGTAAGGCAACTTAAACTAATATCAGTTTTTTGAAATTTGGTTCCTTAATTGTCCTTAGTTTAAACATTTGCTAGCACTATTATCAATTGAGTATTGTTATCTCTTTAAACATATCCTTCTCAGTCTTTTGAGAATGGTGAAAACAATAATCCAGACCCATTTTTGATCTGAGAGAGGAATCATGAATTTACAAGCCTTTGGAAAGTTAGGTCTAGAGAGTATGTTTGAAAGCAGATTATATGTCAAGAGTAGGACTAGGCTCTATGGATTTAGGAAACACATTCTTATGGTACATATATGGGTTAACGGAATTCAACATATTAAATGCCAAAAACGTACATAGGTTTATATACTTTCATCAACCCAACTGCTAATCTTAAATACTATTTACTCTTAAGATTATAAGAATAAATTCTTAAATTCAATTTACTTGTTTTCTCCCAGACCCACACTTGAAGGTAATCATAGGTAGGATACTCTGAATCTACAAAGTATTAACATTATGTATACATTACTATAAAATTTTAGGATGGTAATGCATATATATATGTTTTGTCCCCCAAAGGAAGGAGAAAAGAGAAAAGTCCTGTGAAAAAATATTAAATGTTAAGTGACCTTCTCAGTGTGATGCAATTATTATAGATAATTATTTTTGTCCTTTTTAGAATTTCTCCAATGTAGTTTTATAATTATATTTTAACCCAGCTTAACCGAGTTATTAAAAGCTACATTTTGGAGTAGATAAAAGGGTTTCTGGTTTTGTGTTTCTCTTATCAAAGTAGTATTACAAGGTTTATAAAAATTAACTGTTCTTTAGTAGGGGTTATTCATAGAAACTATACCCCTTATATGCATTGATATGGAAGACATTTTATTACTTTGCCCTGAACAATGTTGAATTACAAATTGATTACATTTAAAAATCTAGCTGAAATGGATTTTGCCCTGGGAGATGTCCTGTTGACAATGTGCAGCTATAAGCTCTGGGCTGACTGTTGCTGCAGGTCTGGGTATTGGACCATCTACTGAGTTTAATTGTCATTTTGTGTACATATAGCAGTATCCATGATCACACCAACTCCCACTGCTTTCTGAAGATTCTGCAGGGAAATCTAAAGGAGACATTATTTGCCTGGCCTGACAAAAAGTCCAATGAGATGATCAAGAAGTCTGAAAGAACCTTGAGAGAAAACCAGTGTGCCTACATCAACGGTAACATCTAATACCTTTTTCTAAGGGCAGGTGGGAAAAACCTTGAACTCCCTTCTGAAGTACTGGTTACTTACACATGTGCAATAGAAGTTGGATCATGGAGTCAAATACTTGGGATATGATCCAAAAGCAGCGTGTCTTGCTTTTTAAAGTTTTACATATGAATTGGAATTACTTATTGAAAACACATGCAAATAAATTAGTGCCCGCTGAAAAGTCACTTACCTGCCAACTCTTAGGACAGTTAGAATCGAATATGATTTTACATATGCAGAGTCTCTTAATAGAGTAAGGAAGGCCAAGTTGGAAAAGTTAGTCTTTGCATTAGAAAATGTAAAGAAATGTTCTCAAAGTGGTTAAGAATGCTAGCTTGTTCCTGTTTTTCTAAAATGCATACAACATACTTAAAAGAATATTCTCAAGGGAAACTACAAAGCACATTATTTAGCAGTGATTTACAGATCTCTCACTAAGAATTCATTCTTTCCCCTAAATGTGATATGAGAAAGCCACATGCTTCTTAGAAGAGGCAGTGATTAACATCTATATTCCTGAAGGGGAGAATAACTTTCCAAAGAGCTCGTGAAAGCTTATATGAGATAATTTATTCCCATTTACAGATGAGATTCCAACACATAGGAAGATCAAATAACTTGCCCATGTCACTCAACTTTTAAGTAGCAGCCAGGATTTGCACCCAAACAATTTGATTGCAAAGGCCATGCTCTTAATTAGGATGCTATCCCACTTACATAAAATAAAATATTACAGAAATTTTCCTGGCAAAGCGGGTTCTCTCTTCTTTAAAAATTAGCATTGACTTTGCTACTGGGCCTAAATTTGTTCATTAATTTAAGAATGCAAGCCATTTAAAAAGGTTAGATTGTATAATGGTCCCCTTTTATCTGTGGGAGATAAGTTCCAAGACCCCCAGTGGATAACTGAAACCACAGATAGTACTGGACCCTATAAATGCTATGTCTTTTTCTATACATATATATGTATGATAAAGTTTCATTTATAAGTTAGGTACAATAAGAGACTAAAAGCAATGATTAATGATAAAATAGAATAATTACAACAATATACTATAATAATAGTTAGTATATCTGGTCTTCTCTCTCTCTCAAAATATCATCTGATAACTGATCTGACAACCAGGATAGCTACTAAGTAACTAAAGGTCAGGGAGCCTATACAGCAGGCTGGACGAAGGGATAATTTTTACCGAAGGGATAATTCACATCTGGGTGAGACAGAACCAAAGTGGGAGATTTTCTTGTGTTACTCAGAACAGCACAGAATTTAAAACTTATGAATCGTTTATTTCTGGAATTTTCTATTTAATATTTTCAGATCTTAGTTGACCACAGGTAACAAACTGTAGAAAGTAAAACTGCAGATAAGGAGGGACTACTTATGGGAAGTTTTGTCTGCCCGTTCACATAACGCAAGGTGTTAGTTTGTGTCACAGGAAACTCTTATTTGAGGGTTGTTATGTATATACGAGGCACACCAAATTTTCAAGACCAAGTTTGTTGCCCATCTAACGCAACAAGCCTTTCAGAATAATTTCTTTCAGCTAGTCACAGAGTCTTTGTGAAACTAGAATAGATCTTAAAGAATAGGTAAGCTATTTTCGAGAGTCTTCAATGCAAAAGACTATAGAAGCCAAGGAGATAAGGTAAATGAAGGATGTAGGCTAGGGATAAGGCTGTGGGAACTGATGTGGGCAAGCTAGAGGACACCAGTGGGCACCCAGCTCCAGCGAGATCATCCTGATGTCTTTTTCCAAAGAAGTGGGAAATTCTAATTTTTATAGAAAATTTGCCAATCAGTAAAATATTGGGTGGGCTAGCTAAATATTTCTATAGGCTAATTACCCATATAATCAAAAAGTCACAAATTTACAATCTTTGATTTTCACAGATGCAGGAGTAGGAGTGCAGATGGATAGTGATCAGTGGGAAGGATGTTTCAAATACAGAGAAGAGCATGAGTGAAGGCACAATCTTAATCAAAGAATGCAAAGAATGAAAACTAATCAGGAGTGGTCCACTTGGAGGGAAGAAGGAAAAATGGGCTTGGACAGGAGTAGTGGAAGAGTAAAGTGAGATCAGGGCCTGGGCCTCCAAGACAAGCTTAAAGTAAGAGCTTGCTTTGGTCAGCAGAATTTAATTTGGGAATATATTGATCAGTTTGGTAGCAGTGTACATCATAGGGTGGAGGAAAGGGAGAATTGGGTCAAGGAGAGCAAGTTACCTATTGCGATAGGCAAAAGGTGAACGTGGCCAGGACCACACTAGCATCCATAAGTATTACCAAGTTCAATATTACTATGACATGACAGAAGGTACACCATGGGGATAAAGGAAAGGAGGCAAAGATCAAAAATAATAATAATAACTCTGGAATTATTAATAGTTGGGATCAGGCATGAACTTTAGGGTCTTCTCTAAAGAGTGAATACCTAGTTTTTTGCAGGGGCTTGTAACTGGAAAAACAAATCATTAATTTGTGTAAGAGCAGTCAGTTCTTAAGAATGTTGAACTTCTGTTCAAAATGATGCTTAAGTCAGTATATTACAAAAGCAGTAAGCTATAGAGTCAAGAGTTTAAAGATCTGAGAATTAGCCTTCATTTTTAGAAGTGAAGAAAACTGAAGATCCTAGAGGTTGTGAGTCGTTTAAATGTAATATAGCTAGGAGGTCCAGCTGGAAGTAGAACCTAAGTCTCTACTTCTAGCAAGCTCATGGAGCTAGATCATAAAGCATAAGGCCAAATTAGGTGCCTACATTAATTACGCTAATTACACTGGATTTTCTTCCTTGATTAATCCTCAAACTCTCTCAACTATAAATTTCTTCCCAGAATATTTTTTAAAAATCATGTATTTCGTCATTCTTTATTTCGATCTCTTGAAAACATCTCCAGGGCCTTTTGACCTGCTTCGGTGTAGATTGGTTGATCTCTAGACCAGGGCTCATCTGTCGTCTTGGGGTCCTGTCACATCATCCAAGCTTTCCCTTTGCAATCTCTGTCTGCTGATTCCTTATTTTCTGATTTCATGTCTGCTTTGTTCTTGGTCCATGCCTTTGTTTTGGTGGAACGTATCTTCCAATGGCTCTACGAGAACAATTTCAGGAAAAATTTTTTGAGACCTCATCTACCTAAAAGTCTCTATATTCAACCTTTGCAACATGATTGTTAATGGTAATCATCATCTCTCAGAACTATGAATCCCTTGTCTTTTAGTTTCCAGTCTCCTTCTCAAGAGCCTGGTGCCATTCTGATTCTTGAATCTTTCTATGAAACTATTTTGTTCTTTCTAGAAACTTTTGAGATCTTCTCTTTTGATATCTTTTCTCTGCCCCCAGTATTATAGTGAAATACCTTGTTTCATGACTCATTCATTGTGCCGGGTACTCAGTGGGTTCTTTCAATCTGGAAATTCATGTCCTTTTATTCAAGAAAATATTTTTAAGTTATTTCTTTGACTTTTTTTTTCCTCTGTTTCTGAAACTTCTCTTGCTCAGATATTAAACCTAGTGAACTATTCCTCTTTTTTCTTTGATCTTTCCTATTTTCTTTGTTCTTTGAGTCTTCCTCAGCTTCCTCAGTTTTCTTCCAGTTTTTATTTCTCCTATCCTTTTTTATTTCTAAAAGCTCTTTTTATTCTCATATAGTTTTGTCTCATCTCTGAGGATATTAAGGGTAGGTTTTTTTTAAGTCTTCTCCTGAAAAAGTATGTCTATTTCTAGTTGCTTTTTTTCAGATTGCAATGGTTTCTGTGTTTAGTACCATAGGCTTTACTCAAATGTCTGGTGGCCTTGTCTGTGTGCTAATATTTAAAAACCAGGGACAAAAAAAAAGTTAACCCGTAGCTCTGAAAACTGGACATCAGTCTAGGGTAATCAGGCAGAGCTTTTTCCTTGCGGAAGAACCGATGGTAATATCTTCAGGGCTTTGTTTTTGGATCAGATTCCCTGAGAAGCCACTTCCCATCTTCCTGGAGAAAAAATTCCTGTCTGGCAGTGTTCTAACAGATAGGTGGTGAAAAAAGTGGGGAATCTTCCCATTAAACATGTAAATTTTGACTTCAGTCACCTGTTTTTCACCTGTCCTGAGTTCATTTGTTGCACTCTTCCTAGAGAATTGATCTCAGATTTCTACCAGAGGGAATGAGAGGGAGAAGAGGTGAAAGGGATTTGAGACTACCTAAATAGGCTTTCAACCAGTTCTTTTATGTTTAGCCCCATCTTTATTCTTATTTCCAGAAATACTCATGCTGCCAATTCCTGAGCTGTTGGGAAGTTTCAAGATAAAAATCAGATTTTTTCTTGTCTATTCTCGCACATAACTGAAGATTTAGCTTTCTCTCCTCTGCAAAGCTATCCATCTTCAGTTAGCCCTTAAACAACATGGGTTTGAACTGTATGGGTCCACTTATACCTTTTTGTTCAATGAATTCCTATACTGTTTTCCATTCAAGGTTGAGAGTCTGCGGATGCGGAGTGCCGACTGTATGCATTGATGTACACCATTTTATACAGAGGACTTAAGCATCCTTTTGTATCCCCACGGGGTCCTGGAACCAATCCCCCCCCACAGATATTGGGGGATAACTTAAGGTTCTGGGGAGTCAAAAGTTACATGTGGATTTTCGACTGCAGGGGTTGGGAGCTGGTGCCCTTAACATCTGAGTTATTCAAGAGTCTGCTTTCAACCTTTTAAATTTTTATTAATGTTTTCTCTTTTCCCATTTTCTTTGTATACTGATGCTTTTTTACTTTTTTAACTGCAGTTGTAGGGGGCTTTCAGGAAAGAGCAGAGTCTCACATGTCTCACTATCGTTAACTAGAAGTTCAATTCTAATTTCTGTTAATTCCATATACAGCCAATTGATTTACAATCTTAAGTGACTGACAAAATTTTTACCTACAGCCATCATCTAATCCTTTATCTGTTCTTCTTGGATATTGTTTAGATTCCATTGGCTTACATCGAGTGGAGAATGTTAGCCACACGGAACCCGCTGTGAGCCTTCACTTGTACAGTCCACCTTTTGATTCATGCCATGCCTTTGATCAAAGAACAGGACATAAAAACAAAGTTACCATGACATTCTATAGCAAATTTGGAATCAGGACTCCATTTGTAAGTATAATTTCTCTCTCCTAGGTTTAAGTGCTTTGTGGGTTGGCAACATTATACCATATGCATTGCTTTTTTTGTTCTGTATTTTATTCGAATATTTTGTTTTAAGTATTCTTGAAGTTTAGATGAATCTTAACTTAGGAGAAAGGCTCCTTATATCCTGATTCTTTTCTTTAACTTTGGAGAATATATTTTCAATTTCTATTAAAAAAAAACTTAGATGCAAAGAATTATTTATTAAGATTCAAAATCTATGCTCATTTCTAAAGAAAATGTTTTTATTTGTTAGAGATACAAGTGTGAAATCTATATTATTTGATATTACTTCTGCTATGACTTACTGTTCATAGGCCTAATTTGTTGGGACAACACAGAAATTACTTGCATAGTTAAGCTTTGCAAAATTTGAGATCCTATTCCAATGATACAAATAAAGAAACTTTCCTGTTTTGATTGCCTAATTGCTTTTTCTTTCAGTAGTGATGCTATTCAGACCCCAAATAACTGAGAATGGACTGTAATAACATGTTCCTCCTTGAGGAACAAATGTTTTCACCTAAAAATAATAAGGCAACCAATAGTAATACAGTATGGCAATCTTCTACCTCTGGCAAAATAAATTGGCTATTTAAAGGAATGTAAAGACTGAAAACAATCCTCATGAATCTTATGAAAGTACAGCCTTTGAGGGAAGCTAGGGCAGAATTTTCTCAAGTGATTGCCCTGCTCTGTTTTCTGCATTTTAATCCCCAAGAGCTACTCTTATCGCAGGAACAAAACAGGACTTCATTGCCATAGCTGAGAGTTTTCATGCACAGATAAGAAGTCAGGACTACTTAGAACAAGCCGAAAGGTCTGGTATGAAAATCCTTACACAGCCTCTTTTTTTCTCTTTTTTTATAGACAACTTCAGGATCACTGGAAAACAACTAAGGAGCACCAAGCCCTCTGAAGTTTTACTTTAAGGTCTGCTGAAGTTTTGCCTTGGACAGGAAGGCCTCCCACCATTTACTGTTCAGTAATATACTTTACAAAGCCAATATTTAGATCTCCTGTAAGGCAGATGGTAATTACAAGGCATTAAGTATGCCAGTAGTGCTCTGAGCTACTGCAGAAGAAAAATCCCACTAAGAAAAAAAAAAGCCTTGTGATTTTAAAGGCCATGTCAGGTGCTCTCTTGGTTTAATCCTCATTGGAACCATACTGGAAATATCAGTGAAGGTTTTTATAGCTTCTGGAAACACTTCGGTCTCTGAACTGTAATTAGCAATAAATAAAAACAAGAAACCATAGACATCAAATGCCTGCCTTGTTACTTGGATAACGAAATGTAGATGTCTTTAGTATACTTCGTATGTTCTTAATATTTGAAGATAAGTTTTTGAATCTGAATTTTATTTTTTCAGTCTTATTTTACAGATTCCTGTTCTATAAGTAATAGGGTCTTATAGATAGAAAAACAAGGTACTTTGACGTTTGGTAATGAAATGAAAGGCAGAGGATTTAGAAAAGTACCTGTATACAACAAACCAAAAACATAAACTCATGTCTAGTGTATCCAGTGACCATAATCAAAGACTTTGTAATACTCCCAAAATTCCCAAATAATTTTAATAAAACTGGATTTGAACACAATTTGAAGTCTTTCTCTTTAACTTGATAAGAATTTCATAAAATTCATAGTTTCTTAGATTTAGGTGGACCACCAAAAGTACTGCGAAATCTGATTTTATAATGTAAGGCTACGTATGAGAAGGCCAAAAAATGCATTCAAAAGCAGTTTACCTTTTGGGGCTTTACATATGTTCACTAATTGGCTGGAGATACCAACCTGAGGGGCTAAATGCCTGCATAACCAATTTTGCCTGAAAATTGTGTGTTTATCTGTACAGGCTTCACTTTATTGCACTTCACAGATGTCTTGATTTTTACATGTTGAAAGCAAGACTCTTTACTAGGAAAAATATTACAACGCACTTTATAGCAGTAGTCTGGAACCCAACCTGCAATGTCTCCAAGTTATGCCTGTCTGTATTTAAATGTGAATTGTTTTCCAACATTTAAAAACTGGAGATTTCAAAGAGAAGGGATACGTGGATTTCTGCTTCTTAAAAGTTTGAGGTATCTATCAACACTGGACCTACATTGCATTTTCATTGACGTCAGTTAGCAAGGCTAGGGTTTGTCCCTTAGATGGGGCCACCTCTCCAATCTATGGTGGACCTCAACTTGCCTGTTTCCCTTATTATATAACCTACAAAGCCCGTATATGCATTTGAGTTTGCTCCCTCTACTTGAAGCAATTTTCTTAGGAATATTCATCATAATCTTGGAATTTATTATCTTTAGAAACTTACAAGGTAAAGTCCTTTGATGATAGTTCTATGTGGGTCATTGGTTGCATTTATACATCTCAGAATTTATATCTTTACATCTTTGCTTCCTCTCATCCTTGAGAAAGACATTAACATTTATTGAGGGTTTACTGTATATTAGGTATATAAGTTTAGACATACTAACAATTTTGTAAGTAAAACTTCCTTATAAATTAGATATTGTATTGGTTTTCTATTGCTGCTGTAACACATTATCACAAACGTAGTGGCTTAAAGCAACACAATTTATTTTCCTAAAGCTTCATACATCAGAAGTCAATTTCATGGCACTAAAATCAACATGTCAGCAGAGCTGCATTTCTTTCTGTAAGTTCTGGGTAGAATCTGTTTTACTGGGTTTTTCTTTTAGAGACTGCCAGCATTCCTTGCTGATATCCCCTTCTTCCATCTTCAAAGCCAGCAATAGCAGCAATAGCAGGCTTAGTCCTTCTAAGCACTCTTGACCTACTCTCTCCTCCTATATTTTGAAGGGCTCAAGTGATTAGATAACATCTCCATTACTAGATTGTACCCTTAATCCTATTTGTAAAGTCTCTTTTGCCACGTTAGGTAACATTCATAGGTTCTGGGGATTCGGATGTGGACCTCTGTAGGGTCCCATTCTGCCTATCACAGTTCTCCCTCTTGCTCCCAATGAGCCATGTCTCTCCTACGTGCAAAGTAGATTCACCCCACCAAGATCTCCAAAGTCTCATCCCATCACAATGTCAAATGAAATTCCAAAAAATCTCATCTAAATCTCATCAACTCAAGATCCAAATATCACTTAAATTAGGTATGAATAAGCTGTGCTATAATCCATCTTGGGACACAGTTCTTTCCCATATTCAGACCTATCAAGCAAGTTTAGAAACCTGCCAAAAGTTATCCAGCCAAGAAATTACAGAGCTAAGTTTTGATTTCAAGCAACCTTGATTTAAAACTCATTCTCTTTATACTCAAGCCTTTCAGGGTAATAGAAACCTGGGCCACTTCTAATTTTTGCGTTTGCTATTTTTAATTAATAAAATTATGGTATTGTTATCTGTTTAATATATGTGGTATATTTAAATGTTTAATAACACATTTAACACACAAATTGAGAAATAACCTGTGTGTGACAAGTAATGGCCAAATTTGAATTTGAGAATCCTTGTGCATGTGAGGCTCAACCTAAGTAGACACTCTGATGGTCCTCGCTCTCCTGGCCATCCTGTCCACCCTGATCTCTGTGATTGGCTCTGTTGTCCACTGCTGACAAGAATGTTCAAGGAGTTGCAGACATGCTTCTCCTTTAGGAGCCCAGTGCTTGCTCGAGTTGATGAGGTGTATGCACACATGGCAAGGCAGTGAAGCCATCAAGGGCCCAGAAGAATTATGTAGGAAGGAGAAGGAACATGGAAGGCTGGAATCATGCTGGTGGCTAAAGGTGAAATGGATGTAAAAGTAGGAGGGCAAGGACCTGAGTCTAGAAGAGGAGGAGGAGTGAGCCCTGTGTGTGAGGAGACAGTGAAATGCAAGGCTGGTGGTGGGCCCACGCACCACCTTAGCACTCAGTAATTCCTATTTACCTGCAGCTTGAGCTTTTCTACTTGATGTTCCCTCTGCCTGGAATGCCCTGTTCCAAGCTCTTTCCACGGCTGGTTCTTTTTGCCCTGCAGATGTCAGCTCAAATGCCTTCTTTTCAGAAAGGAATTCCCTGGTCACCCTGTCTAAAAGTATAATTGCCAGGTGCTCTTCATTCAATTTCACTGATGCACTTATGGTTATCTGAAAGTGACCATTTCTTTTTTCACTCTTTTATCATCTAAATCCTACTAATAGGACGCAAAGCCCATGAGGAGTAGAGATAGTGTTTCATTTACTACTGTATCTCGAGCACTTAGATCATACTTGACACACAGGAGGTATTCTATAAATATTTATAAAATGAATGGAAAAACCCTCAGTCTCCTTACATAAGAATTGTATTAAACCCTTGATGCTACTACGGTTTCTTCTATGTGCCACAAGATCAAGGGTACCACATTATTTTTATTAAGTACAGAAATTCTAAGGATTATTTTTTTAAGCCAGAGACTTCTTTATTAAAGCCCATGTCAGAGGTTCATCTTTTGTTGTGGGTTTGTTAATCAGGTGTTTGGACAAACTAGTTGATGGTTGATGAATGAAGGGCATTTATGTGTGTTTCATGGGAAGGGACGGCATTAATTACCCCATTTAGCAATAGTGCTTAGTCGGGTTTTTTTTCTGACTCACGGACCACTTTGAAATTCTCTGAATGCTAAAGAACTTCTCTCCAAAAAGGCCAGCATACAACAAATATGCATACAAATTCATGAAAGATTTCAGGACTCTCTGAAGACACCTAGGGGCCCCAGATAAAGAACCCTGTCACATGAGAGTCAAGGCATGTGGGAAGTGATGGATATTTCACTTCATTTTCTGAGATAGGAGGGCATTAGCAAGCTGGGAGACTAGTTAACCTTTTAAAAGTTACAAGATTTCTAGGAAACACCAGAGGCTGGTGCTACTTTGTCCAAGGCAAGTCCACACATTTCACAAGATCTGTTTTCCTCAGTTTCTAAAGACATTTCAGACATTTCAGGAAAAAAAAAAAATCTGTTTCACAACTTTATTTATCCAGATAGTAGATGCTTTCCTTAAAATGTGTATGTGGGATGCTGAAATAAGCCAAACGCAGAAGGACAAATAATGTATGATTCCACTTATACGAAGTGCCTAGAATAGGCCAATTCATAGAGACAGAAAATAGTCTAGAGGTTACCAGGGACTGAGGGGAGGGAGGAAAGGGAGTTATTGTTTGATGAGTACAGAGTTTCTTTTGGGGATGATGAAAATTATTTGAGTATAGATAGTGGGGATGGGTCAACAGCAATGTGAATGTATTTGATGCCACTGAATTATACATTTATGAATGGTTAAAATGATGATTATTTTCATTTTCCCACCATAAAAAAGTTGTTTCTAAAAAAAAAAAAAAACATGTGGGAGAAAATGTGTGTGTGTGTGTGTGTGCGTGTGTGTGTGTGTGTGTGTGTGTGTGTTGGAATAGTTAAGACATATTGTAATAGAAAATATAAACTATATAAAAGGTACATGGTGAAAAATTTTCTTTCCATTCCTCTCCCCAGGTATGTCCCTCTCTGGGGTAACCTATATTACCAGCTTTTTTGTGTTTCCTCATTTATTTTTTCCTATTGTTCATAGAGAGGGTGGCATCCTAAAGTGCGTGTTGTGCACTTCTAAGGAAACCTTCCCATATCAATACAGTTTCTGCATTCTTTTGTGCTGCTGGCTGCATGGTATTCCATTGTATGAACATAAGACAGTTTAGTTCACCAGTCCTCTCTTGTGGTTTCCAGCCCTTTACATTTGCAAACAAAATTCTTTGAATAACCATGTACATAAAGTCATTTCACAAATATCAGTTGATTATTTCTTTATTACAAAACAACCAAGGTAACTCAGTCCCAGGAAACAAGGTTACAGGAGAATGTCATGGCAAGCTGCCCTGGCCGAAGAGTACCCCTTCTGTGCAGAATCTGTCACTTGATGTCATTGCTCTTCAATTTAGGCACTTTCACTATGCTCATTGGTCAAATGAGTTCATGTGAAGCCTCCAGCTCTGTCAGAAGCTTGACACTCACAGAGATTACTTATTACAAGCAAGAAAGCCCAGGGAAAGCCCATGTATTTGTGAGGAAACTAATGATCTAGTCATGGTCGATTTAGAATTCTGCCTGTGCTCAGTAGGAGAGTTGATGCATTCCTGACATTTGTTTTTGTTTGTTTTTATCACTGAGCTTTTCGAGTAGTTAAAGAAGATGTAATAGTGTTACATTCTATTTGAAAACATGCCTCACAGGTTGCTTAATGAGGGGCATTTTTTTTTCTTTTTTGAGTAATTCACAGAGACATAAAGTAACTTAACACACTGAGATCTACTGAATGGGTTTGAGCACTAGTTTAAACCTAAGTCAGTTGTCTGAGAGACATCCTTATACAAGCTCAAGGAAATGGTCATCTGCTTAAAATATTTATATCTATATATCCATATGTGATATGTACAATGTTTACCTAAAAGCACAACCAGAAAAAGTTCACGCATGTGAGGAATAGAAATATTATAGAAATACAAAGTAATCTAATGTACCTGAAGTTCAATTAGCCTTCGATGCCAAGAGCCCTCCTAG